ATTGAAGCAGGGCTACCCGACTATTTCTGGCCTGATGCGGTGCGGAGCGCGTGTGTGGCCAAGAACAGAGCCTTGACTCATGTGGGAGCAGACAAATGGGTGCCCTATGTGGAGTGGCTAGGAAGGAAGCCAAAGGTGGATATGCTTCGGGTGTTCGGGTGCATGTGCATGGCGCTCGTGCCTAAGCATCTTCGGCACAACAAGCTTGGTGCCAAGGCGGTGTGGGCCGTGCACTTGGGCATGGCTCAAAACAGCAAGGGATGGCTTCTTTGGGACCCATTCACCAAGAAGTTCTTGGTGAGCAGGGACTGCAAGTTCATGGAGAACTTCATGTACAAGGATTGGAAGGCGGAGAATGAGGCGAAGATAGGCGTGCGGTTTGGGGAGGTGAAGAGTTCCGGTTTGGAGCATGTGGAGCTGCCTTTGGAGCTGAGCAGCGGCAGCACAACCACAAGGCAATCCTCCCTTGTGAATGGGGGAGAGGAGGCCAATGATGCAGAGGAAGAAGAGGAGGAGGTGCAGCAAGTAAGCGAGCGTGCACCGTCACTCCCTTCCCGTACTACGAGTGCTCCACGGATTCGAGCCACACCGCAGCAACGCCAAGGCCTTCAAGTCCCTGCAGCTGAGGAGGAAGGAAGGGGGAAGAGGAGAGTTCAACCCCCTAATAGGCTGACCTATGATGCGCCGGGAAAGCAGGGCAAGACAGCCCTGGCCGGAGCGGCAATGATGGTCGGAGACGACGAGGAGAGTGACTACGAGGAGTGTGCCTTCGCGTTCTTCTCTCCGGTGGAGATGCCGGGAGAACCAGCAACTCTCAAGGAGGCTTTGGAGAGTAGTGATGCTGAGGAGTGGAAGAAGGCAATGGAGAGTGAGCTGAAGAGCATTGAGGAGAACGGCACATGGGAATTGGTGGAGCTACCGGAGGGGCGTAAGGCGATTACGTCCAAGTGGCTCTTCAAGATCAAGTCCGACGCCGACGGCAAGATCGAGCGCTACAAGTCTAGGCTTGTGGCGAAGGGGGTACCAGCAGAAGGAGAAGGTGGACTATAAGGAGTTGTTTGCTCCTGTGGTGAAGCCGACGACGCTGCGAACCCTACTCGCGGGAGCTGCCATCAAAGGATGGGTGGTGAAACAAATGGATGTCACAACGGCATTCCTCAATGGCGTCCTTGAGGAAGAGATTTTCATGGCGCAGCCAGAGGGGTTTGATGATGGTAGTGGCAGAGTTTTGAGGCTGAAGAAGGCCCTTTATGGACTGAAGCAGGCCCCTAGGCAGTGGTACTTGAAGCTGCGAGGAGTTTTGGAGGAGATCGGCTTCACTCCCTCAACGGCCGATCACTCATTGTTCATGCTTGGCGAGGGGGAGCAGAGGAGTTTCATGGTGGTTTATGTGGATGACATCCTCATTTTCTCACCCTCTTCTGACCTTGTGAAGGAGGTGATGCTGAAGCTTCAAGACAAGTTCAAGTGCAAGGCCCTTGGTGACGTGAGCTTCTACCTTGGGCTCCACATCGAACGAGATGTGGAGAAGCGGTGCATGCGGGTGCATCAACGAAAGTACCTGGAGGCATTGGCTGCCAACTTTGGGCAGAGTGAAGGCCATGTGGCTACACCCTTTCCCTCTGGGTTCAAGTGTGTGAAGGGACCAGAGGAGGAGAGCGTTGGTGAAGAGGAGAGGCGCCGTTTTCACTCGTTGGTGGGCAGCCTCATGTACGCGGCGGTAAACACCCGACCGGACGTCGCGTTTGCTACCGGACAGTTGGCTAGGGTTGTTCAATGCCCTAATGAGGAGCAGGTAGCAGCTGGAATGAGAGTGGCCAAGTATCTTGGCCAAACACCGACCGTTGGGCTGCAATATTCGGCGGCGGCACAAAGGCGCCAAAAGGGCGCGGATGGTGTTGAACCCGGGCGTTTGTTCCTCACCGCCTACTCGGATGCTTCATATGCATCAGAACCAGAGGACATGACAAGTGTGGGAGGCTTCATATGCTGTGTTGGTGGAGGCCCAACTGCTTGGGAGAGCAAGAAGCAGGTGGATCAAGCATTGAGCTCGGTGGAGTCCGAGTATATGGCACTCTTTCGTGCCGTACGAGAGATTGTGTGGCAGCGGCGTTTGTTGGCTGAATTGGGGGAGGAGCAGCAAGGACCTACCCCACTGTACTGTGACAGCCAGGGTGCCATTGCTCTTGCTAAGAACCCTGTGTTGCATGGCCTCACCAAGCACATGAGGGTGAAGTGGCATTGGACGAGGAGCATGGTGGCCGCGGGTGAAGTTGAGTTGCACTATGTGAAGACGACAAGGCAGCCAGCTGACATGATGACCAAGAGGCTGGTGGAGCAGCAGCATTGTTGCAAGCTGGCTGGGATGGCTCTGAACTGAGAGAGCAAGATCCTAAGGCCAACAATCCGAGGGGGAGTTTGTTGGTGCAACCCTACGGTTTGCATTCGGCTTGTTGTCCGTGTGCGTGCATGCGTGTGTGCATGGAATGGTATGAGGGCATGAAATAATATATATTTCATGTTTACAATAGTGTGTGTATGATGAAGCATGATTTTGAATGTGTGCGTCGAGTCAATAGCGAGTTATCGCTAGTCGCGTGTCACGTCGTTGTTTGCGTGTCGTGTGCGGTTTTCTATTTTGTCGTGTGTGGAACGTTCGGCGTGTCGCAGGTGTGCGCAGCAGACTTCCAAGAACTCAAGGAAGAATTTACCTTGAAGAACCAGAGCCTTGGTTTCAAGATTCAAGTTATTTCGAAGCTCTCCAAAAGGGTAAACTTTAAGATAGTGAGAATAGTTGCATTACTTTGTGTAGTGTAACATTTCTCTTGGTGTAGGCCCTTGTGGAGGGTAGTTTCGAGACCCTTCGTGGTTGGGGACAGTGTGGCACTGTTCCACATCACTGTACCTCGGCTCTTGGGGTTTGTAGGAGCTGGGAGTCATTCCCAACTCGTAACTCTTCCTATCTTGTGTTCTAAGACTATAGTGGCTGCCATAGTACCGTTCGTTCAAACCGACGCTGTGTCGTCAATTCTTTATGAAATCGTGCAATCTAAATTGCTTATTGTAGGCGACGTCAAGAAGCTCCAGATCCAATTTGAATCAAGTCATTTGCAGCTGTGAGCAGAACGCTATCAACGTTTGAAGCCGCTGTGCAGAAATCCGTCTGTGCACTCTATCTTTCGTTTTAGGCACATTCAAGGCTATTGTGACTATAACACTGGTCTCACCTGGTCACACTTGGTCCCACTTGGTCCCACCTGGTTCCACCTGGTCTCACCTGGTCCCACCTGGTCACACCTGGTCTCACGTGGTCTCGCCTGGTCACACCTGGTCTCACCTGGTCGCACCTGGTCTCACCTGGTCACACCTGGTCTCACCTGGTCTCACCTGGTCTCACCTGGTCACACCTGGTCACACCTAGTCACACCTGGTCACAGTTGGTCACATCTGGTCCCACTTGGTCCTATCTGGTCCCACCTGGTCACACCTGGTCACACCTGGTCTCACCTGGTCACACCTGGTCACACAGGGTCTCATCTGGTCACACCTGGTCTCACCTGGTCACACCTGGTCTCACCTGGTCACACCTGGTCTCACCTGGTCACACCTGGTCTCACCTGGTCACACCTGGTCAGACCCGGTCACACCTGGTCACACCTGGTCTCACCTGGTCACACCTGGTCAAATCTAGTCCCACCTGGTCACACCTGGTCACACCTGGTCACACCTGGCCACACCTGGTCTCACCTGGTCACACTTGGTCTCACCAGGTCACACTTGGTCAAACCTGGTCCGACCTGGTCCCACGTGGTCTCACCTGGTCTCACCTGGTCACACCTGGTCGCACCTGGTCTCACCTGGTCACACCTGGTCCCACCTGGTCTCACCTGGTCACACCTGGTCACACCTGGTCACACCTGGTCTCACCTGGTCACACCTGGTCGCACCTGGTCTCACCTGGTCACACCTCGTCCCACCTGGTCTCACCTGGTCACACTTGGTCACACTGTCGCGATATATATTTATATATGTTTATAACTGCCTGTAGCTTTAGCTTTAGTGTAGTTATGTTTCTTTGTTGTGGTGGTGCACCTCTTTGTTTCTTTGCTATATGTTCTTGCAAACCTATAGTGAAGACACACATTCTCGATTCTCTCTTGGCACAACTCCCTCGACACCCGCTTGGCCTAGGCTACTAAGCCTAGGCCCTTAGTTAAACCCGTTCCTAGCTAAGTTCGTCTTGTGACATGGTATCAGAGCGGTCCGTCCTAGGACCTATTTCGTTTATGGGCCCACCACATTTCGCGACTGCTACAGTTAGTGGCGCGAAATCCGCACCTTGCGTATCTTTTTTTTTTCCCTGCTGCTCGCGCTGCCCCCCGTCGCCTGCCTCGTCGCGGCTCTCAGCGCGACGGGCGCGGCGGACGCTATGGCGAACGCCAGCGGACCCGCTGCCAGCGACCCGCCAGCGAAGTCGCCAGCGAAGTCGCCAGCGGCCCGCGATCGCGTTTGCGCCATCGACTGCAGCCAGCGCCACCTTGCACCTCGCCCGTCGCACCGGCGGTCGCTGTGGGGGGGAGAGGGAAGAAGGGATGGGAGTGGCGGCGGAACTCTGTGGGGGCGAGAGGGAAGAGGGGATAGGAGTGACGGGGGAACGCCAGCGACGATCGCCAGAACACTGGCGATCGCCCCAGCCGCTCATTCGCCCGCTCTGCCCGTCGCATTCCCCCCGCCCCCTGCCCGTCACCCCCCCCCCCCCCGTCGCGACTGTTTGCGTGTGCAGCGGCGGTCGCCATGGGGAGGAGAGGGAGGAGGGGAAGGGAGTGGCGGCGGGACGCTGTGGAAAGGAGAGAGAGGAGGGAAGGGAGTGGCGGCGGAACAGCACCAGCGCCAGCCGCCAGCACCAGGCACCAGCGCCAGCCGCCAGCACAAGGCACTAGCGCCAGCGCCAGCCGCCAGCACCAGGCACCAGCCGCTAGCACCAGGAACCAGCCCCAGCGCTAGCCGCCAGCACCAGGAACCAGCCCCAGCTCCAGCCGCCAGCACCAGGAACCAGCACCAGCGCCAGCCGCCAGCACCAGGAACCAGCCCCAGCGCCAGCCGCCAGCACTAGGAACCAGCCCCAGTGCCAGCCGCCAGCACCAGGAACCAGCCCTAGCGCCAGCCGCCAGCACCAGGAACCAGCCCCAGCGCCAGCCGCCAGCACCAGGAACCAGCCCCAGCGCCAGTCGCCAGCACCAGGAACCAGCCCCAGCGCCGGCCGCCAGCACCAGGAACCAGCCCCAGTGCCAGCCGCCAGCACCAGGAACCAGCACCAGCGCCAGCCGCCAGCACCAGGAACCAGCCCCAGCGCCAGCCGCCAGCATCAGGAACCAGCCCCAGTGCCAGCTGCCAGCACCAGGAACCAGCACCAGCGCCAGCCGCCAGCACCAGCACCAGCAACCCCACCAGTGACCAGCAGCCCCACCTGTGACCAGCAGCCCCATCTGTGACCAGCAGCCCCACCTATGACCAGCAGCCCCACCTGTGACCAGCAGCCCCACCTGTGACCAGCAGCCCCACCTGTGACCAGCAGCCCCACCTGTGACCAGCAGCCCTACCTGTGACCAGCAGCCCCACCTGTGACCAGTAGCCCCACCTGTGACCAGCAGCCCCACCTGTGACCAGCAGCCCCACCTGTGACCAGCAGCCCCACCTGTGACCAGCAGCCCCACCTGTGCCCAGCAGCCCACCTGTGAAAGACTGTACAGGGACCATCGTGGGTTGGGAGAGGTATGGAGGAAGACAGGGGTGGAGGGAGTGCAGTTCCAGGGGGCGACTGAAATGGGGGGTGAGGTTGAGGGCGGGTGGTTGGTTGGGGGTGGGGATGTGGGGGTTAGTAAGAGGGGACGCTGCGGCCACCCCCCCACCTCTTCTCCTCATCCCCCACTCAACCCCCCCTTTCGTAAAAGGGGGTTAGTAAGAGGGGACGCTGCAGCCACCCCCCACCTCCTCTCCTCATCCCCCACTCACCTCCTCCTGTGTTCTTATCTATTCTCCTCTCCTCTCTTCCTCTTGCCTCCTCCTCCTCACGTACCCCTCTGCCGTCTCCCACCGCACCTGCCCCTTCAGGGGGTGTGACTTGCTCTAGCTATGTGCTGCAGGCAGTTAAGGGGGTGTGTCGCGATATATATTTATATATGTTTATAACTGCCTGTAGCTTTAGCTTTAGTGTAGTTATGTTTCTTTGTTGTGGTGGTGCACCTCTTTGTTTCTTTGCTATATGTTCTTGCAAACCTATAGTGAAGACACACATTCTCGATTCTCTCTTGGCACAACTCCCTCGACACCCGCTTGGCCTAGGCTACTAAGCCTAGGCCCTTAGTTAAACCCGTTCCTAGCTAAGTTCGTCTTGTGACACACACCTGGTCACACCTGGTCTCACCTGGTCACACTTGGTCTCACCTGGTCTCACCTGGTCCCACCTGGTCTCATCTGGTCACACCTGGTCTCACCTGGTCACACATGGTCACACCTGGTCCCACCTGGTCCCACCTGGTCACACCTGATCACACCTGGTCTCACCTGGTCACACCTGGTCACACCTGGTCTCACCTGGTCATACCTGGTCACACCTGGTCTCACCTGGTCACACTTGGTCTCACCTAGTCACACTTGGTCACACCAGGTCCCACCTGGTCCCACCTGGTCTCACTTGGTCACACCTGGTCCCACCTGGTCTCACCTGGTCACACCTAGTCACACCTCGTCACACCTGGTCACACCTGGTCACACCTGGTCGCACCTGGTCTCACCTGGTCACACCTGGTCCCACCTGGTCTCACCTGGTCACACCTGGTCACACCTGGTCACACCTGGTCTCACCTGGTCACACCTGGTCTCACCTGGTCACACTTGGTCACACTTCGTCACACCTGGTCCCACCTGGTCCCGACTGGTCTCAACTGGTCTCACCTGGTCACACCTGGTCTCACCTAGTCACACCTGGTCACACTTGGTCACAGCTAGTCCCACTTGGTCCCACCTGGTCTCACCTGGTCACACCTGGTCTCACCTGGTCTCACCTAGTCCCACTTGGTCACACTTGGTCCCACCTGGTCCCACCTGGTCTCACCTGGTCTCACCTGGTCACACCTGGTCTCACCTGGTCTCACTTGGTCACACCTGGTCTCACCAAGTCACACCTGGTCACACCTGGTAACACCTGGTCACACCTGGTCACACCTGGTCACACTTGGTGTCCCCTCGTCTCGCCTGGTCTCACCTGGTCTCACCTGGTCACACCTGGTCACACCTGGTCACACCTGGTCTCACCTGGTCACACCTTGTCACACCTGGTCACACCTGGTCTCACCTGGTCTCACCTGGTCACACCTGGTCATACCTGGTCTCCCTTTGTCTCTCCTGGTCTCACCTGGTCTCACCTGGTCACATCTGGTCACACCTGGTCACACCTGGTCACACCTGGTCTCACCTGGTCACACCTGGTCACACCTGGTCACACCTGGTCACACCTGGTCACACCTGGTCTCACCTGGTCACACCTGGTCACACCTGGTCACACCTGGTCTCACCTGGTCACAACTGGTCATACCTAGTCCCACTTGGTCATACCTGGTCACACCTGGTCACACATGGTCACACCTGGTCTCACCTAGTCACACTTGGTCTCACCTGGTCACACTTGGTCACACCTCGTCCCACCTGGTCCCACGTGGTCTCACCTGGTCTCACCTGGTCACACCTGGTCGCACCTGGTCTCACCTGGTCACACCTGGTCCCAGCTAGTCTCACCTGGTCACACCTAGTCACACCTGGTCACACCTGGTCTCACCTGGTCACACCTGGTCGCACCTGGTCTCACCTGGTCACACCTGGTCCCACCTGGTCTCACCTGGTCACACCTGGTCACACCTGGTCACACTTGGTCTCACGTGGTCACACCTGGTCACACCTGGTCTCACCTGGTCACACCTGGTCACACGTGGTCTCACCTGGTCACACCTGGTCTCACCTGGTCACACCTGGTCACACCTGGTCACACCTGGTCACACCTGGTTACACCTGGTCACACCTGGTCTCACCTGGTCACACCTGGTCACACCTGGTCACACCTGGTCTCACCTGGTCACACCTGGTCTCACCTGGTCACACCTGGTCTCACCGGGTCACACCTGGTCTCACCTGGTCACACCTGGTCTCACCTGGTGGTCTCACCTGGTGGTCTCACCTGGTCTCACCTGGTCACACCTGGTCTCACCTGGTCTCACCTGGTGGTCTCACCTGATCACTACTGGTCACACCTGGTCACACCTGGTCAAACAAGGTCACACTTGGTCACACCTGGTCACACCTGGTCTCACCTGGTCATACTTGGTCACACCTGGTCTCACCAGGTCCCACCTGGTCTCACCTTGTCACACCTGGTCTCACCTGGTTACACTTGGTCACATCTGGTCCCACGTGGTCCTACCTGGTCCCACCTAGTCACACCTGGTCACACTTGGTCTCACCTGCTCACACTTGGTCACATCTGGTCCCACCTAGTCCCACCTGGTCTCACCTGGTCCCACCTAGTCTCACCTGGTCACACGTGGTCACACCTGGTCATACCTGGTCTCACCTGGTCTCACCTCGTCGCACCTGGTCTCACCTGGTCACACCTGGTCCCACCTGGTCTCACCTGGTCTCACCTGGTCACACCTGATCACACCTGGTCTCACCTGGTCACACATGGTCTCACCTGGTCACACTTGGTCACGCTTGGCCACACCTCGTCCCACCTGGTCCCACGTGGTCTCACCTGGTCTCACCTGGTCACACCTGGTCTCACCTGGTCACACCTGGTCACACTTGGTCACACCTGGTCCCACCTGGTCCCGCTCGGTCTCACCTGGTCACACCTAGTCACACCTGGTCTCACTTGGTCTCACCTGGTCACACCTGGTCACACCTGGTCACACCTGGTCACACCTGGTCACACCTGGTCATACTTGGTCACACCTGGTCTCACGTGGTCTCACCTGGTCTCGCCTGGTCTCATCTGGTCTCACCTGGTCACACATGGTCACACCTGGTCTCACCTGGTCACACCTGGTCACACCTGGTCTCAACTGGTCTCACTTGGTCACACCTGGTCACAACTGGTCTCACCTGGTCACATCTGGTCCCACCTGGTCCCACCTGGTCTCACCTGGTCCCACCTAGTCTCACCTGGTCACACCTGGTCACACCTGGTCACACCTGGTCTCACCTGGTCTCACCTCGTCGCACCTGGTCTCACCTGGTCACACCTGGTCCCACCTGGTCACACCTGGTCTCAACTGGTCACACCTGGTCTCACCTGGTCTCACCTGGTCACACATGGTCTCACCTGGTCACACTTGGTCACGCTTGGCCACACCTCGTCCCACCTGGTCCCACCTGGTCTCACCTGATCTCACCTGGTCACACCAGGTCTCACCTGGTCATACCTGGTCACACTTGGTCACACCTGGTTCCACCTGGTCCCGCCTGGTCTCACCTGGTCACACCTGGTCACACCTGGTCTCACTTGGTCTCACCTGGTCACACCTGGTCACACTTGGTCACACCTGGTCACACCTGGTCACATTTGGTCACACTTGGTCACACCTGGTCTCACCTGGTCTCACCTGGTCTCGCCTAGTCTCATCTGGTCTAACCTGGTCACACCTGGTCACACCTGGTCACACCTGGTCTCACCTGGTCACACCTGGTCTCACCTGGTCACACCTGGTCTCACCTGGTCACACCTGGTCACACCTGGTCACACCTGGTCTCACCTGGTCAGATCTGGTCTCACCTGGTTACACTTGGTCTCACTTGGTCACACCTGGTCACACCTGGTCACACCTAGTCTCACCTGGTCTCACCTGGTCACACCTGGTCACACCTGGTTACACCTGGTCTCACCTGGTCACACCTGGTCTCACCTGGTCACACCTGGTCTCACCTGGTCACACCTGGTCTCACCTGGTGGTCTCACCTGGACTTACCTGGTCACACCTGGTCTCACCTGGTCTCACCTGGCGGTCTCACCTGGTCACTACTGGTCACACCTGGTCACACCTGGTCGCACCTGGTCACACTTGGTCACACCTGGTCACATCTGGTCCCACCTGGTCCTACCTGGTCCCACCTGGTCACACCTGGTCACACCTAGTCTCACCTGGTCACACCTGGTCACACCTGGTCTCACCTGGTCACACTTGGTCTCACCTGCTCACACTTGGTCACTCCTGGTCCCACGTGGTCCCATCTGGTCTCACTTGGTCCCACCTGGTCTCACCTAGTCACACCTGGTCACTCCTCGTCACACCTCGTCTTACCTGGTCGTACCTGGTCGCACCTGTTCTCACCTGGTCACACCTGGTCCCACCTGGTCTCACCTGGTCACACCTGGTCACACCTGGTCACACCTGGTCTCACCTGGTCACACCTCGTCTCACCTGGTCACACTTGGTCACACTTGGCCACACCTCGTCCCACCTAGTCCCACCTGGTCTCACCTGGTCTCACCTGGTCACACCTGGTCTCACCTGGTCACACCTGGTCACACTTGGTCGCACCTCGTCCCACCTGGTCCCGCCTGGTCTCACCTGGTCACACCTGGTCACACCTGGTCTCACTTGGTCTCACTTGGTCACACCTGGTCACACCTGGTCACACCTGGTCACACCTGGTCATACCTGGTCACACCTGGTCTCACCTGGTCTCACCTGGTCTCACCTGGTCTA